GCTTGGGACCGGACTTTAGAGTGCATTTATAGAGGGTGTGCACTTATAGAAGTGCACTTAGAGAGGTCTGACTGTATTAGTAAAAAATCACGTGGGGTCTACTATAAAGGGGGTGGTTTATATGGCGAAATACGGTACTTCTGGTACTTCTTGAAATTATACATAGATGCTCTAACAAAAAGTTTTCAGTGAGCAATTTTACTATATAGACTACCCTTCTCTAGCCAATAACCCTAACTCTAACTCTAACATGAATGAACTTTAAAGAATTTGTACTACGCTATAAACCTGGCATACAACACTCAAAAATCTGGGTCAGGTTTTGTCGATCACTGTGACATAGTAAAAATTCTTAACGTTAGAGTTGGCGCTTAGAATAAAGTTAGGGATTAGGCGATAATGTAGTAAAATCGCATAAGAAATCATAAGCGCTTGTTTTGATCGTATTACGTTACACCTGATTCTTGAGATCTGATTTGTGGATGGCACACATTCATTTTTCTCATGCGCCACATCACGTTACTGCAAGTGTCTGGTTGAATAGATTCCTGGTGGGGTTTGGTCTTTTGGCCATAAGTAAATCCCTTCATTCGCCCCCACTACGTAAAGTACCAAGAACAAATACAAAAAAATAACTAACAAATTTTAAGTACATACATGCTTCGCATTTACAATAAGCAGTCCAGAAATTAAAAAAAAAAAAAAAAAACATTACCGGTACATTTAATTAATGGAGCACGCCAAGGTTTTTTGCACAGATTCAGTGTACTATGGTAATAATGACTATAAAATTACGAATAGCTTATAATTCTGATACTTTATTTTACTTGTGTTTTAAAATTTACAATTTACATTTTTAATTATCAATTTTGTATATACAATCGAAACTGGTCTACCTGTGCAGACTTATAGTACATCAAATCAATATAGCCGATATATCGTTTACTAATAAAGAAAAAAAAAATGAACATTTATTAAAAAAAATTTACTAAAATGATGGAGTAGCTTACTCTCCAAAGCCGCCGACAAAATAAATGTCAACCACTTCTAACCGATAAAAATTAAATGCATGTCCTCTGCCGGGGATCCTAAAATAATATGAGTTTAGGTTTACCATGTGATAGAAACTAACATTTGATAACATACCAAAAACGCGCTCGCGGATGTTTTTTCAAGAAACATTTCTGTATCGCTGGAATCTAAACTTGTTATTATTCAGTAAAATTATTTGTCAAACGGATATTAGTTTTTAAAGGACAATATTGAAACTACCTCGTCTTTTTCAATTTTCACTAACTTGCCAAACAAATTTAATCTTGGTTCAGCCATTGGAAAGTAGGTTTCATTTTTACTGAGCTTTTGAATCACAAATGATATTTTAAAATCATTTTCGCGCGCATTTTTGATATTCAGCTTGAGAAATATTCAAAAATTGTTATAATTTGGAAAATTGTTCAAAATCACATAAAATAATAAGTTCAATCACATAAGATAATAATAGTACCGAATAATCAGTCAAAAGCATCAAAGGATTACCGGTCGAAGGGCAGTCATCGGAATAGTATGTAAATAATCCAAATGGATATCCTTTAACACAAGTCTCAATACTTTGAGTAAAATTATACTTATTGTGATCACAGTAATTAGATACAACTAATACCTTGCAACTCTTCCTTTGCAAATTTGTTCATTACAGTTACTAAAGTTCCGATTCCAGTCTCTGACACTAAAGACCGCGCGACTACAGCAGCCTCTTGTTCTGTTTGTTTTTCACGAGTATTCCGAAATTTAATGCCGACACTGTACGTAATAAGAGTAAGAAAAAAAATGAGATACTTAATTTGTAAGCAAAACATATCGATATCAATATTAGAAGACTTGAAAAAACTAGCCGATGACAAGCTGATTTTCGAAATCACGTTTTGCCTTTTTTTTTTAGGAAGCTGGAGGTACGAATACCAAAAGTGGGGGTACGTATACCAAATTTTAGAAAAGTGCTTTAAAAGAGATAATCTTAATAAGTAAACCTTCTTTTTGGGTCTAATTAAAGTAGTTCTTTAGGTTTTTCCGGTTCTTAACAGTAGTAAAATCATTAAATTTAGTTAAATAGTTCTCTTTAAAAGATAAATTGAAAATTGCTAACTTGACATGGTCTCACCATTATTAACATTCAAAAAAAAATAAAAATAAAAATAAAAAAATGCTAACTTTGTATGTAAATAAAAAGAGAACTACCTATTAAATTTTAACTATTTTACTATTATTAGAACCAGAAAAGCCTAAAAAACAACTTTAATTAGACCCAAAAAGAAGGTTTACTTATCTCATTTAAAGTATTTTTCTAAAATTTGGGGTACAAATACCAAAAGTGGGGGGTATGACCTTTTTTTATCATTATTTGTTGTCGCGGATGATCATGAAATCGGATGATAGTGAAATTTAGGGATCTCGATTTGAAACTATAAGCCCTACCAAAATCCACCTATACTCTTTTACTAATACCTCTAACCCTAAATCCTAACTTAACTATAAAAAAAAAAAGCCAACAAAAAAAGGCCCCAAAAATTCTTAAAA